CCCGCGCATCCGGGCGCTGTGGGAGAAGGGGCTAATGTCTTAGGGGCGACGGGGAGCGACAGGGAAGAGACGGGGGGCGGGGGGAGGCCGGTACCTGGGCTGGGAGGTATCCGCTCTCCCAGGGGCATCCTGGGCCAGGGGTGGGGGCGCGGGGGCTGCAGTGCCAGCTGGTGGGGTCACTCCGTCCCCCCGGGGGATGGTCACCTCCTGGGCCTCGGATGCATCCTCCCCACAGTGGGGACAGAAGACCATGCCGTTCATCTGGGACACACAGGCCTTGTGGAAGCGATGGGCCACACGGAAGTCGGGGTGGCACTCCAGAAAGGTGCCCTGGGGCAGGGAAACAGCGGGTGAGGCCAGGGGATCCCCCAGGGGCGCGCTGCCTGCCCGCCCCACGCCCACTCACCACTGTACAGAAGTAGCCGCAGCCCGGGCAGCAGTGGTGCTTGACCATGCGGGCCCGGTGCGCCTCGCAGAGCACCATCAGGGCCACGCGGCTCGAGGGCCTCATGGTCTCCCGCTTGAGGATGGCGGCGTTGCAGCCCGACAGCTGTGGGCAGGGAGAGTGGGCGAGAAGAGGTGAGGCTGGGCCTGGCCCCGCCGGCGGCGCTCCTCTGCCCTCGGCCTACCTCTCCGCCTCAGCCTACCTCTCCGTCCACGCTCTCCGTGGCCATGCACTTGTGACCCGCTCTTTCGCTGATGCGGTCGATCTTGGGCGCCTCCATGCGGCAGCTGCACAGGGGCAGCTCCTCCAGCCCGCGCTCCGTCTCCAGGGAAGACGTATCGTTGGACACCCCTTGGACAGAGGAGAAAGGGAGCTGAGGGAGGCCCTGCCCCTCACCCACCGGGACCCCTGGCGGGGCCGTTCGCCCCCCACCCTGCCTGCCTTTCCCTCCATGCTCCAGAACCCCCAAAGCCTGGCCATGAACACCCTGGCTCCAGTGGGGTCCCCCTCCCCCCCTTTCCCTCCAGTCCTGACGGTGCCCCCTAGTGGCTCCCTATCCCAGCAATTGGCAATTAATTACCAGCGTGGTTGGGGGAGAGGGTCCCCTCGCTGGGCAGCTCCAGGGACCCCAGAGGGACCTCCATGTACTCACTGGGGCCTGAGGAGCCCACACCATTCACTCCTGACACAGAGACAGAGAGAGTGAGAGTGCGAGCTCACAGGCGCCTGGATGTGTGGGTACATGCGTGAGCGTGTGCTCGTGCACGCTCTCTGGGGCTGGGAGGGGGCTGAAGGAGGGCACCCCAAAGCAGAGGAGCCTCCTCACCTCGTGGCTCCTTGGCCCGTGGAGGCTCCCGCTTCCGCCGTTTCCGGGACGGCTTCACCCAGGGGCTGTCCTTCCGCCATTTCTTTTTGGCTTTTCTCCGGCCGCTGGAACCACTCTGGGGAGGAGGGAGCGTTAGCGAGCCTGGCCCCAGACCCTCTGGAACACTCGGGCCTCGGGCCATCCAGCCTCCCGCTCTCACCTTGTCAGATTGATTGCCAGACTCCTCGTCTTCCTCTTCCTCCTCCTCCTCCTCCTCTTCTTCCTCCTCCTCTTCCTCCTCTTCCTCACTCAGTTGTTCAGCCAGTGCTTCAACCTCAGACTGGACCAGGGCAAAGTGGGGCTGAGGAAACAGTGGCCCTTGGGCCACAGCTCTCCCGTGGGGGGACGGAGAGGCAGAGCAGGTCATACCCAACTCGGGGACGCCGCCACCCAGGATGGCTCTCTCCTGGGGCGGGGCTTGCAGGGAAGGAGTTAAAGAGCCGGATAAAGGGAAAGGATGTAGAATATTACACAGCAACAAGAAGGAAGGTGCAATGTTAGATGCAACATGTGTGAATCTTGGCAAGACAACATTAAGTGAAACAAAAACAACAACAAATTAAAAATGGCAGGGGAGTAGGTGGATGCTGCAGACATGCTCCCAGGAACAAGCTGGAATTACAACCGAAATACGGAAAGAATTCCTGAATAATCCACGGCAAACTCACAGGAGAGAACCCTGATACCCAAGGACCAAAGGTGGAGATGCATAGAGACTGATAGGAGGGGTGGAGGTGCAAAAGGGCTGGCCGGGCACCCACAGACGGCAACTGAAGTCCCGGAGAGATATCTCAGCTGTGAGGGGTGCCACTGAGAACTCTGGGATCTAATCCTGAAGCTGGGCTCCCCGGCAGAGAGCACCTAACTGAGAAGGGTACCCACATAACATCTGGCTGTGAAAAACAGTGGGGTGCTGTCTGCCAGGGAGTGACAGCTGAAAGTTCAGGTACCCTCTTAAAGGGCCAATGCACAAAAATTCCCTGTGGAGCCACCCACCTTGTGCTCCGGCAGACGGAGGGTGAAGTGGACTGGAGCTGTGAGAGCAGAACCCAGGATTGGGGACTTGGGGGATAGAGCTCAGATGGCAGACACCCCAAGTTTTCTGTCCTGAGTCATTCCCTCACACAGCCGAGGACATCTTTCCCACATAGACACCTGCCTTGAAACACCTTGCCCTAAAGCCACTTAAGCCAGTGAAAATGACAATTAACCTCCAGGCAGAAGCAATTGCCCCACCCTGTTGAAAAAACTCTTGCCATACCTGAGGACAATTTCCTGGGGCCATTCAAGTCCGAATCCTATTAGTCTGTAGACCAGTGGTTCTCAACCTTGGCTGCACATTAGAATCACCTGGGAATCTTAAAATCCTGATTTCTGGGCTTCATCCTCAGAGTCTCTCCAAGCGTTCTAAGCTCCCAGGGTGGGCAGGATCCTCTGACTTCCTCATGTTTTCCCCTATACTTGGGGGTGTGGCTGAGTCTTGAAGTATACTGGAGTGGGTGGCGGCAGGTGGCTAGAGAGAAGGGTCCTACTATCAAAATGTTTTGCTTGAATTAGATTTGCTCCAGCTGACAGCGTTTTCTCTGATAAATTCCCTGAATTTATCATCTAACCAGACACTTTTCAGGATATAATGGATGTATTAATAAATACCCAAGACAAGTCAGGTATGACCCAGGACTCTGGGCAAACTGGGACATTCCCTAGTTTGCATTCTGCCCAAGTCCATTAGCTAGAACACTTCCTGAACTTGTATTTTGTGTCTCAACTTCCATTCTCATGCTCCCCTCTGATATGGCTCTTTCTTAGACTGACCACTCAATAGTAAGATGCCTGTTTGTCATGGCCCTAGACCAGCCGTGGGCAAACTACAGCCCGCGGGCCGGATCCGGCCTGTTTGAAATGAATAAAACTAAAAAAAAAAAGACCGTACCCTTTTATGTAATGCTGTTTACTTTGAATTTATATTAGTTCACACAAACACTCCATCCATGCTTTTGTTCCGGCCCTCCGGTCCAGTTTAAGAACCCATTGTGGCCCTCGAGTCAAAAAGTTTGCCCACCCCTGTTGTAAAGGGTATAGATACAGAAAAGGGTGAGAAATTATGGTCTTTTTAGCTTCTTGGTAGCTGTCTCAAGTAATTTTCTTTCTGGGAACAGCTGTTTTGATATACAGGGAATATTAATCCATTATACTTATACTTATGAAGAAAACTGAACCACAGAAAGGATTATTTAGGCATCACAGGTATTTACGAGAATAAGAAACACTGACCCCTTAAGCCAGTGGTTCTCAACCTTGGCTGCACATTAGAATCACCTGGGAATCTTAAAATCCTGATTTCTGGGCTTCATCCTCTGGAAATTCTGTTTCTTTGTGACTAATGTTGTGGCCTCACCCCATAACAAAGAAACAAAATTTCCGGAGGATGAGGCCCAGAAATCAGGATTTTAAAAAGATTCCCAGGTGATTCTAATGTGCAGCCAAGGTTGAGAACCACTGCTCTGGAGGCTTTGAGTCTTTGCCTGATCCAATTAGTCAGAAACAGCCTTTAACACTGTCCTGCACTAGAGATTGAGAGGCATAGAGGATCTACCTAATACATAGTCACAGATGACCAAAATGAGGAGACAAAAAAACAACCCTGAAATGAAAGAACTTAACGAATTCCCCAGAAGTGGAGATAAGAAATTTATCTGAGCCCTGACTGGTTTGGCTCAGAGGATAGAGGCAGCTGATCGATGTTTCTCTCTCATTGATGTTTCTAACTCTCTATCCCTCTCCCTTCCTCTCTGTAAAAAAAATCAATAAAATATATTTTTTTTAAAAAAGAATTTATCTGAAACAGAGTTCAGAGTAATGATGGTAAAAATGCTCAACAATATGAAAAAAAAAATAGTAACTATGAAAAAAGAACAGTCTGACATAAAGACTGACATAACACAAATAAAGAACACATTGGAAGGAATACATAGCAGATTAGGGGAAGCTGAGGATAGAATCAGCGAATTAGAAGACAGAGTTGAAAATATCACTCAATTAGAGAACCAAAAAGAAAAAAAAAATGAAAAAAACAGGAGGACAGCTTAAGGGAGCTGTGGGACAATGTGAAATGTAACAATATTAGAATAGCAGGTGTGCCAGAAGAGGCAGAAAGGGAGAAAGGAACAGAGAAGGTGTTTGAAGAAATAATGGTAGAAAACTTCCCTAACCTGGTAAAGGAAAAAGTCACACAAGTTCAGGAGGCACAGAGAACCCCAAACAAGAAGAATCCAAACAGACCCATGCCCAGACACATCATAATTAAAATGCCAAAAATTAAAGACAAAGAGAT